AAATGTTTGAAAAAAAATCTTCGATCAGGTCCGAGTTTATTATGTATTCTAAAAGCTGTATAAATTTTAAATAAATCTATTTAGGGTTTTCGAGATACAGTTGTCACTAGTTCGAAAAACATAGTTTTAAGAAAAACGCATTTAAAGCTTCTTGCAGCTGCCGCTAGCTACCTGCTCCTGAGCGCTTTAAAGTGCCCGAGCACTCTTTGATATTTGTCGAAGAACTCAAAATGTAAAAAAAAAAATTTATTTTTTGAAAATTCTGACTACATTTAACCCCTTAAACCATATTGTGATTAATAAAACAAGTGTGCTTTATTTCATCAAAATATTTTATATTGGACCATATATACAAAGGTATATATTAAGTTTAACTGGTCTAAACTTGCTTTTTCTAGTTTGGCATTTTACTAAATTAGACTCAAGAAAATGTTTCCATTTTTTTATTACTCACATTTTCTCAGCTTTACTTTATTTTTGTTCCTATTTTTCCATTTGAGCAATTCGCCATACACGACAGACTTGTATGCACAAGGATCGTAAAAAATCGGAAATTTATTATTAACGAATAATTTTTCTAATAATTAAAACAGCAATTTGCTTTTCACCTTTTTCACTCTTGCAACATGTCGCTACAGAGTATGATAGCTTTGTTCAATTAACAGTTAACCTAAAACTAATAGAGATAGATATGGAGTATATACAATATATAAATGATCACGATTAAGAGACGAGTTGAAATTCGGGTCACTGTCTGTCCGTGCAAGCGATAACTTGCGTACAAATTGAGATATTCTGATGAAACTTGGTACACATATTCTTTGGCCAATGGGCGCAATCGGACCATGGACCATACGAGTTGTCGCTGTAGCCAGACACCTGTAAGTCAAAACTTATTTAAAAGTGGGTGTGACCCCGCCCCTAAAAGGTTTAATGTACATATCCTCCAAACCGCAAAGCTAAATCAACCAAATTTTCTGAGAAGCAATTTTAGCACCTCTTTAAACTCTGTGCAAAAGTGTAAAACCATACAATAACCACGCCGACTCCCACCATACCACCACACCATATTAAACCTTTAATTCCATCTGATTCTTTCACTTTCCAGAATACAAATCAAACATCAATGAGTTTATCAGAATAAATTGCATAATTTAATAAAAAAAAAATTTGGCAACACTTGAAGGTGTTTCACAAGGCTTTGACCCTTGAAGTAGTAGTGAAGTGGTGAAGAGTATGAAATGTTCGTTTACACCCGAACTTAGCTCTACTTTACTTGTTTTGATTATTTTTTTTTTCGCAATCAACAAAAAAAATTAACAATTTAAATTAGGTCATCAGGTTAGCAGATATCACTCTTTTTAATATTATTTAAAGTTTTTTGCCAAGAACATATTTAAACATTCGTATATTACTTTAATAATGAGTCGATCCCGTCTTGTTGAGAATGATCTCTAATATCCGATTAGGTTGCCATTCGTACAATTTTCCAATGTCATTTAGGGAAATTGATGGCCAAGCATTTTTAAGTAATACCTTCAACTAATTCGTCTTTGGTGGAATAATGCCGACCACACTCGAAAACTGTGCAAGCCAACCATCTCCACACCTTTTCTATTATATTGATAACAGTTGAGTAAGCCGCCCACTGGTTTAAATCGACGTTTTATCCTTCAATCTCAGACTTAAACACCGGGAGGTGTGAATACGTGCTTCATCGTGAAAAGTTCCAAACAGATTTTTAAAATGGAGAAAAGCAGTTTTCAGTACGATTTTATACGCGTTTGCATTCATATTGGTATTCAAAAATTGCACGCACCATTTTAGAAGATGGCTCCCCACACCTCCCACACGACAATGTAGTCGTTCTAACTGATTTTAACACCAGCATTTGCCAGAATCTTGGCAGTCGATTCAGGAGAGTTGCATGATTTTCTCAAAATTGCTTTCTTGTTTACATCGAAAATAAATGTATTGTTATATTTCGATCGGTAGCAATTTTCCTTTAGAATAGAGCACTTAAGCAATACAAAAAACTTGGTATCAATACGTATTTAAACCTTGAAGATAAATGCAAATCAAATTGCATATGCTAACCTGATGACGCTAAAATAATGCATACTTTTCGACTAAAAAGAACAGAAAACAAGTAAGGAAGGGCTAAGTTCGGATGTAACCGAACATTTTATACTCTCGCAAAGTTAAATGGTATACTCGTTTGAGATTTCTTTGTGGATTTGCTGATATTTTCGGTAGAAGGTCAACTATAGGCACTGGGGTCCACATATTTAGTACTTAGGGGCTTGAACAGTTTTGGTTCGATTTAGACAATTTTTGGCCACAAGGTGGCATACTTTAAACCTATTATTCACGCAAAGTTTTACCCCGATATAATCATTGTTGCTTGATATGCATAGTGGAAAGTAAAAGAATCAGATGGAATTGAAAATGGTGTTATATGGGAAATAGGCGTGGTTGTAGTCCGATTTCGCCCATTTTCGCACTAAAACTTAGAAATATAAAAATAACGTTATGTACCGAGTTTTGTTGAAATTGGTGAAGCAGATCTCAAGATATGGGTTTTCATCTAAAAGTGAGCGGTGCCACGCCCACTGACTAATTTCGAACGCGGCTCCTACAAAGTCATCTCATACCATCCCAGAGATAAAATTTAATGTCTCTGGCGTGTTTAGTGCTTGATTTATCGCGCTTTTAGTAGTTTTCAACAGTACCGTTATATGGGGAGTGGGCGGAGTTGCCACCTGATTTCAACTATTTTCACAATATTCGTAGAGGTTCTAAAAAAATTTGCTTCCTGTGAATTTTTATATTATAGCATTAGCGGTTTAGGAGATATGCACAATAAACCTATTAGAGGCGGGACCACGCCCACTTAAAAAAAAAATTGTAACTGCAGATGCCCCTCCCTAATGTGATCCTGTGTACCAAATAACAGTCTTATATCTTATTGCGGAGCTTAGTTATAGCAACTTATGTGTTTTTGATTAATGGCGTTTTGTGGGCGTGGCAGTGGTCCGATTACGCCCATCTGCAATACCAACCGTCTCACGGTACCAAGAATGTCTACCAAGTTTCATAAAGATATCTCAATTTTTACTCAAGTTACAGCTTTATATATATATAACCCTATATCTAACTCGATTAGTTTTAGGTGATACAAACAACCGTTAGGTGAACAAAACTATTATACTCTGTAGCAACAGGTTGCGAGAATATAAAAATAGCAAATACCATATAACTTTCTTATCGCATGTTTTCTTTACCAGTGATTGTTCATTCATTCATTGTTTTATATCCTTTGCGCACAGGATTTAATTGATCAATTAACCGGCCTTTGCTCGATTAAAGCGCTAATTAAGATCGATTTACCATACACATTAAAAATCTTATTTTACTACATTAATTCTTAATCGAATTCAAACCGAGTTGAAACTGGAATGCAACTTTGCGGGTTGTTGTAATTTGGCAGTGAGAAAAGACTATTAGGCTGATTCTTACCTGGTGACGCGCAGTGTATGTTGTGTATGACCACTTTAGAGAGGAAAAAACCATTTGATTTACATTTTTCACAATTTTAACAAAAGATTATTGGAATTGTATAAACATCATTTAATAAATTACCCTGTCAGCCACGGCTAACCACCTTCCCCAGAAATTTCAATTAACATATTTGTCATTAGTGTCAATAGAAAAATCCCAAAATGGAAACTAAAAATTCGAATGACAAATGCAAGTAATTTGCGTTTGTAAAACACACAAGGGAAGTAAATTGAGAAAATTGTGTAATTTCATTAATGTATATTTTAAATTATTTTATTTTTTAGTACAAATAAAGTTATTAATCTATCTAACTGTGGGTCAGACAATGACAGTGGCCTTTATTAAAGGTTTACCAATTTTACGCTAAATTGAAGATAACCGGTGCCACCAATAATACCAAGGTAAGCACATAAGCTTGAATTTATAATACTACATATATGCTTAGCAATAAAAATACCATTTTTATTTAATGCACTATCAGATTCGATAAATCACTTGCTGATGCTTCGAAAAAATTATCGCAAGAAAAAGAAGTGAAGAAATTGTAAAACTTCGAGGCACGTTTTTGGGTTATGATTTTATTCAAGAGAGTGAGCCATTGAAAGCTGGGAATGAAATGATGGCCGTTTTGCGGATTTGATAGTTTCTTACTTTTTTCTGAATCGATAAACTAAGATATTTTGTATTAAATATATCATCCTTATTGAATGGTAAACTTCGTGTGAATAAATCAGTCCCATTAATTTTTATTTTCACGCGAACGAAAAATTCCGGTAACATATGGTTTTGTTTTGATTTATTCTATATTATTTTAAGGAATAATGGATTTAAAAAAACTTCTTGAATGATCCCACATTAGGTAGCAACTTGAAAATCGATGATTACGTTTTTTCATTCTGAAATCGATAGGCCTTAGTTCATATAAACAAGTCCTTAAAATCAAGTCACTATCAATTTTGTGAGCAAATTTCATGGTTTACATGAAACAAATTACATTTACGATTAAGATTTAATGTTTGTAACTGAGTTTGTACGAAATTAAATAAATAATTTAAAATTTAAATTTTTTATACAATTTTAAAAATATTTTAAATTAGAAATTCGAAATTGCAACCCTGGATCAGTGGCGATTAGGGAAATTAAAACATCTCAGCTATGTATATGTTTTTAAGGAGAAAGTGGTGAAGACTTTCATGCCGTTTGCTTAACAAGTTTTTTAACCACTTTTGGCTGGCAGCGTATTAAATCACTTATTATGTAACAAATGTATGGTAAATGTATTATGTAAGAAATTTTACGTCGAAACGTCAATAATAAGAATTTGGCTTTCTTGGCCATCTTACAATAAAATTATTATTTGTTTTATTATCAGACACGCGACTTATCATATATGAAATATAGTTAACATAAATAATTAAATGTAAATGCTTTATACATACGTATATCATTTTGTTGATGAATCCAAGTATGTTCATACGGGTCCAAATTTCTCATGCTTGTTATGTTGTTAGCTATTAAGGATAGATTACAGCAACGAAATAGATATTTATGAGCGTATATTATGTTTCAACAACATTCAATTTATTTAAGTTTTATGATGCTCCCGTTGTTACGATTCGATTTTACGGCACGACAAAAAATTTATAGGAAATCGCTTGAAATTTGTCTTTTAATATTTTTTATTGCAATTTTCAAATAAGAAGCACTGCTTCATTTTAAAGTACTCTCACTTTTAACAATCTTGATTTAAATTATTAGTTTAAAAATAATTATTTGTAGGTAGATTTCAGGAGACCATTAAATTTCCCGATATCCAAGGTAAAATATATCGGGTGTAACTATAAAGTACATTGTTTACGTTTATATTGTTAATAATGCTCGCGATTCTGCTACTCCGCAATAGCATGAAAAAAATTACATAACACAATTAGAATTCAGCAAACTCCTTGGCACATTTTTCTGTGCTAGAAATCCGCAGTGCCTCTTCTTCGTAGTCGTCAAAATTACTAGTATCACCAGGTCCTTTACACCGAGGAATAAATGGTGCTTCAATTTTTTTTTGAAAGATTGCTATCCAGTCTGTTGAGGCAAACCACTTTTGGTTTTTAATATCATTTACGCCTGCTTTCAAATTACCGTAACGCTTTGTCAGGTCGACTTGTAATAAATTACGTAATAAGTCTTTCAAGTCAGAGCCAAAATGCGAGGGAAAACGTACTTTTCCTGATACGATTTTTTCATATATTTGAATAGGTTGGTCGGCAAAAAATGGCGGATAGCCCGCTGCCATTTCATATACAAGTACTCCGAGAGCCCACCAATCAACTGCTTTGTTATAACCTTTAGACAATATAATCTCCGGAGCAAGGTATTCAGGAGTACCACATAGTGTCCATGTGCGCCCTTTTACGCGCTTAGCGAAACCAAAATCAGTAACTTTCAGATAGCCTTGTGAGTCAATCAATAAATTTTCCGGTTTCAAATCTCTATAAATTAAATCAAGATAGTGAAGGTATTCAAAAGCCAGCACGATCTGAGCAGCGTAAAAACGTGAATGGACTTCTGAAAAACGACCTACTTTACGTAAATGCGAAAACATTTCTCCGCCAGGGACATATTCTAAAACCATGTACAAATTGGAATTATCCTTGAAATGATATCGAAGAGAAACTAGGAACGGAAACTGAATAGCCTGAAGTATGCGCTTTTCATTCAAAGTATGCTCAACTTGTTTAAGTTTAACAACCTTTTGCTTGTCAAGAATTTTCATAGCGTAATAATCTTTTGTCGGTTTGTGTTGAACAATCATCACACGTCCAAAGGACCCAGTGCCCAACGTCTTAATGCGTTCAAAATCATCCAAGCACGCAGTATTTGTTGGATTTCGGCGCCATTTATCTTCAAATTCTTCTTTTGCTTGTTCAAGAAACTCTTTAACTGTCTCTGCAGCATCTACTTTTTTATTAGATGTAGTAGCGTTATTTCCCATTTTGGAAAATGTGATAACTGACGAAAGCCAAACACGTATTTATTTTTGCAATTTTGTAGATATCAAAACATAAGTTTTTACGAATTTTCTTAAAAATATATTTAAGGGATTTTCCAAAGCCAAATGTGTATAATTTTCAGTTGCAAAGGAAGATACTTCCAGGTGACACAATTTACGTAATCTTGGTATTCTTTTTAGTTATTTTCTTTTCTCTTCAACATATTAAGCAATGTTTTTGCCAAAGATAATTCCTTAAGGTAGCTAGTATACCTGAAAATAGAAAAAAAATTGATTAAATCATAATATATTGCACTAAACATTTGTTTCAAATTGGAGTGTTTTCAATTAATAAAATTTCAAAAGTCGTATGTATATCTCATATCAGAATGTGCGGAAAAAAGAACGCTGCGTTTCATATCTCAATATAGAGACAATATTCTTATCAATCAGATTTGTGGCAAGGTATGTACTCGCTTATAAAGTACCAGTTCGTCCTTGTATTGTATCAAAGCAAGCTAGCTTTATTTTCAAAAGTAAACAAAATTATCAAAATGTTCATAAAGCCCTGTCAACAATGAATTTTTAAAGTTTTTAAACAAAACGAAGTAAATTTATGACTAGGCCACTTTCAATTCTGTTAAATTCAATACCAGAGTTGTTTTACAGATTTTAGATGCTGCTTAACTAATGTCAATGGCTCTAATGATAATTGACTTATGAAGATTAAAATACAATTTTTTTTTTACTTTTATTAAAAACAAACAATATAATGCAATTGACGTTTTCGAAATATACATACATGTGTTAGTGTCGTGGTGTTACTTTACTTTAACCCTTACACTTATTTAACGAAATTGGCAATACTATCAAGGGTCTAAAAAAATTATAGTTTAATGCGAAAACTCCTGTAAACCTCTTCACTTCTGTGAAAAAGAGATTAAAACTAAAGCGAAAGATTACCAGCAAGTTGTTTTAAAAGGTGTGATAAAGCTGTTAAGCAATACTCTCTTCGATAAAGAGCCTTGGATCTTCCATTAAATTTATTTGCATAATGTGGCACCTTCTTTTGTTTTTATTTCGTATACTTATTACTACCATAAGTTCTGTTGCTTTCTGTTGTTTTCTGCAGCGGATACTTTCATGCCCGTTGACCGCGCGCCTATTCAAGCGCGTTGTCAGAAGACGTGTGGAGACCATCTCGAATTAGACTTGACATTCATCTCGGAAATATCCATTTTTGTTTCTAGAAGGATTTCTGCGAATGCGTTCCGTAAACCGTTTTTATACTCTCGCAACCTGTTGCTACAGAGTATAATAGTTTTGTTCACCTAACGGTTGTTTGTATCACCTAAAACTAATCGAGTTAGATATAGGGTTATATATATAAAAATGATCAGGATGAAGAGACAAGTTGAAATCCGGGTGACTGTCTGTCCGTCCGTCCCACCGTCCGTCCGTGCAAGCTCTAACTTGAGTAAAAATTGAGATATCTTTATGAAACTTGGTAGACATGTTTCTTGTTACCGTGAGACGGTTGGTATTGCAGATGGGCGTAATCGGACCACTGCCACGCCCACAAAACGCCATTAATCAAAAACAAATAACTTGCCATAACTAAGCTCCGCAATAAGATACAAGACTGTTATTTGGTACACAGGATCACATTAGGGAGGGGCATCTGCAGTTAAAACATTTTTTTTAAAGTGGGCGTGGTCCCGCCTCCTATAGGTTTAATGTGCATATCTCCTAAGCCGCTAATGCTATAACAACAAAATTCACTAGAAGCAAATGTTTTTAGCACTTTTATTGACGGTGTGAAAATAGTTGAAATCGGGTGGCAACTCCACCCACTCCCCATATAACGGTACTGTTAAAAACTACTAAAAGCGCGATAAATCAAGCACTAAACACGCCAGAGACATTAAATTTTATCTCTGAAATGGTATAAGATGACTTTATAGGAACCGCGTTCAAAATTAGACAGTGGGCGTGGCACAGCCCACTTTTAGGTGAAAACCCATATCTTGAGATCTGCTCAACCGATTTCAACTAAATTCGGTGCATAACGTTCTTCTCATGTTTCTATGTCATAGTGCGAAAATGGGCGAAATCGGACTACAACCACGCTTACTTCCCATGTAACACCATTTTCAATTCCATCTGATTCTTTCACTTTCCACTATGCAAATCAGGTAACAATGATTATATCGGGGTAAAACTTTGCGTGAATAATGCAATTAAAGTATGCCACCTTGCGGCCAAAAATTGTCCAAATCGAACCAAAACTGTTCAAACCCCTAATTACTAAATATGTGGACCCCAGTGCCTATAGTTCACCTTCTACCGAAAATATCAGTCAATCCACAAAGAAATCTCAAACGAGTATACCATTTGACTTTGCGAGAGTATAAAATGTTCGGTTACATCCGAACTTAGCCCTTCCTTACTTGTTATGTCTGAATTTGTTCGAATTACTGAAGGACGACCACTTCTCTTTCTATCATCAATTGTAGACGTTTGGAGAAAAACGATCAATAATGCGGTAAACAAAATTGTCGAAATATTAAGTTTTTTTTTTAAAACTCATTTATATAAATATATATTTCCACACATGTATAAAGCAGTCATAGAAATACGATTTTCATTACCCCCCCACTTCATAGTTAATAAGCGAAAGCAAGCACTGGGCTGATTGTTATATACATTGTGACCAGAAAGTTTCCAGAAATTGTAAATTAAACGAAAAATTTTTAATCTTCAGCAATATTTATTTTATCGCACTCAAAATATGCTTCTTCTGAATCAATACACATATGCCACCTCTTTTTCTAATCATCGAAACATGCCTTTTAGGTGCTGTCCGGGATCGCCTTCAGTTCCCTCTGCGAATTTTCTTTTACAGCCTCAATCGAGTCGAAACGGGTTCCACAGAGTGAGAGCATGGGGCGAAATCCGGTTCAGCGCGGGTAATTTAAATGACAGCTTCCACAATGTCTGAGTAAACACTACATAAAAACTAAAGGACTTTTTTCTGTGAATCGCTGCATGCATTGTGACCTTTGTAACAGAATTTTTGACAAGACTAAGCATAATGATGCGTATGCAGATATTAGAAAAATGAGGCCGGTATCTCCAGCTCTACTCATTTTAAATTAGCCATATATTACTAGAAGTACAAACGGAAAGTGGAAGAGACATAATTTCGTTAGTGAAACTTAGAAACTCTGCCATTCTAAGAGTTTATAATTTGTGTATCTCAATGACAATTTTTGAAAATATTGAATTTGAGAAATTAATTTTATACAAGAAAATATGCTTGTGTTTGCCACAAACTTCAAATAGTTTCTTTTGAAACGAATTAACGTCGTTTTTCGCTTAAGAAATAAATAGAAATAACTAATTTTAACTCATTTTCTTACTCGATTGCGTATACGTAACAATACTTTCCAAAAATTAATACGTGCTGTGTGTGTAAGGTATTGCGATACATTTTTTTGTTTGTTCGTAAGATATATCAATAGGCTTTCATCTCCTCCATATTTCAACCCTACAAAACACACACTGACACATACACTTGCAACCAGTATGTAGACACATGTTTTTCAGACAAATTTTTAATCGCGCACTAAAAATTGTCAAAAGTAAATTCTTTTTCTGATCCGACATGAAAATACGTTCACAAAAAGGCAAGCAGAAATTTGCATTTACTCGTTGGTTTATGAATCATCTGGGTGTAAATATGTGTATTTTAGATAAGCCTCGAATCCTTGTCGCGTGTACACAAATTGGCGCGTTGCTTGTTATTTTTTTGGTTTTTAACAAATAATTTTTGTTTCCTGGATAATTCTACTTTTTTAAAATTTATTCGTATTACACTACAAGTAGAGCAACACTTGCGCGGGTCGTATTCGATATCGCTTATGGTTCTTATGTAAGTCTGTGAGGCTCGACTTGTCGATTGTTAAACTATTTATAAATGTTAGGTCATAGATATGTAGGAGAAGAAAGTTTTAACGAGAACACGAGAATTATTTACATCCCTTCGTCAACTGTTCTTGCATTAAGTGATGAAAATCAAATCGATGATGAGAATATTGCTAACGATGAAAACTTGGAATAAACTCAAACTTGCAATGAATGCATTTAAATTCTCTGAGTTTGACGAAGAAGCTGTCTTTTTCTAAAGGAAAATATTGTTCGTAATCATGGCAAATGCTTCAGTAATTTCGGAATGACACAAAATTCGGATATTCTTTCCAATTTTAATTTTTATTCGGTAATGCCATCAAATTAATATTGAATTTCAATAATACTTAGAAACAAGTAAGAAAGTGCTAAGTTCGGATGTAACCGAACATTTTATGCTCTCGCAAAGTCAAATAGTATACTCGTTTGAGATTTCTTTGTGGATTGACTGATATTTTCGGTAGAAGGTCAACTATAGGCAATGGGATCCACATATTTAGTACTTAAGGGCTTGAACAGTTTTGGTTCGATTTAGACAATTTTTGGCCACAAGGTGGCATACTTTAATCGCATTATTCACGCCAAGTTTTATCCCGATACAGTCATTGTTGCCTGATTTGCATAGTGGAAAGTGAAAGAATCAGATGGAATTGAAAATGGTGTTATATGGGAAGTAGGCGTGGTAAAAATATGAAAGGAACTTATGCACCGAATTTGGTTGAAATTGGTGAAGCAGATCCCAAGATATGGGTTTTCACCTAAAAGTGGGCTGTGCCACGCCCACTGTCTAATTTTGAACGCGGTTCCTATAAAGTCATCGCATACCATCCCAGAGATAAAATTGAATGTCTCTGGCGTGTTTAGTGCTTGATTTATCGCGCTTTTAGTAGTTTTTAACAGTACCGTTATATGGGGAGTGGGCGGAGTTGCCACCCGATTTCAACTATTTTCACACTGTAGGTAGGTTCTAAAAACATTTGCTTCCAGTGAATTTTGTTATTATTGCATTAGCGGTTTAAGAGATATGCTCATTAAACCTATTAGGGGCGGGACCACGCCCACTTAAACAAAAAAATTTTAACTGCAGATGCCCTTCTCTAATATGATACTGTGTACTAAATAACAGTCTTATATCTTACTGCGGAGCTTAGTTATGGCAATTTATTTGTTTTTGATTAATGGCGTTTTGTGGGCGTGGCAGTGGTCCGATTACGCCAATCTGCAATACCAACCGTCTCACGGTACCAAGAAACATGTCTACCAAGTTTCATAAAGATATCTCAATTTTTACTCAAGTTACATCT